CGCGAAACCGACGGTTTAAAACCGGACCAAACCGTTAGGTTTAGGTTTGAGTTTTTTTCAAACCGGTCAAAACGGTTTGGTTTAGGTTTGAGTTTTTTTCAAACCGGTCAAAACGGTTTGGTTTGAAAATTTGTTAAAAATCGCAAAAACCGGACCGCTTACACCTCTACACAGAATACATGCGTCCAATATAAAACCTAGCCAAAATGACTGAATGTAGACTAATATGGAATCATGTATCGATGGCACCGAGTAGAATTATAACTATATATTTGTGTATATATATATATATATATTAAGCCATAATTATGGACTTACCATTTTTTTTCAGAAAATTCACTCTCATCTTGCAATCCATCAACTATTCTATCATTCTCTTGCTCATCAATTTCATGAGAGGAATACGAAGATGAGTGAGGCCCTTATACCATCGAAAAGAGCTGCTCTAGCAATATGTCCCCTGAATTCAAGAATGATTCAAAATAGATGTGCGTAGGCAGAAGAAATTTCTAATAAAATATACACAATAAAATGTAAATTCAGATTGAAAATTTTAATAGATTAGTTTTCTTAAGAACTAGTAAGGAATGTGGATTATGTCCCTTGGAATCAAGATATAATGTTACTGAAGTTCATAGCCTTAGCTCGAACTCGACCTAGTGTGTGAATTCTCGCTTTCAAAAATATCAAGTATCAGGATCTTCAGCAGTGCAACAAATACCAAAGAACAAAATTTATAGATCCATAGACATATAGGCCATATTAACCCTCTAACAGAACAATCTTATGCAATTTATCCAGATAGATTTTCTTATTTCACTCACTAGCTCCATTCACAAGCATTGATCATGGAAGGGATAGAAAAAATGAACCCATACGCAAGCAATGTAGCTACTAGAGAGACTGACACATCATACTTTTACATTTCTATCATAACAATCAGTCGTGATGAATACAAGTAATCCACAGTGAATGCACAACTTCATCGTGTCACATACAAAAATTAGAAATAGTTATGCGATCATAAGCCTGCTTTCTGATAAACGAATAAGAAAGTTAAACAGAAGATCTTCTTGAATTCATTTTTGAAAGGTTTGGGATGTATTTAGCGATCAAGCTGCACCTTTTTTGAAAGATTTGAGACCTCCGCTGCAAATTTCCGTTCTTTATATTTGTTGCACTGCACCATTCTTGTAATAATTTCATGAAATAATTGACTTGAAAACTTTACCTTTGACAACTCCAATATTAGATAGTCAAAACAAGATTTCCTAAAATTCTGTTGCTATTTTTAATTCATATTCAACAATACTTTGTCATTAATCTTACAGTGGAATTATTTGTGTAACTATCATAATTTGCAAGAAGTTCAGTAAGGACACAAATGAACTACGTAAAAAAATTTCAAACAAATAAAAAAAAAATCTCTGATATTAAAACTATCATATTTTTTACAGCTACACGGACTTGTATAGAAAACAAGACACACGTGCAAGACACGTGACATGGTGTAGTTGACTATGTAATAGCATAGATATGTGCTTGTTTGGGAGAGATTTTTGGGGGAAGAATTGATTTTGAATAGTGATATGATGAGAAATGTGTGGTTGG